ATAATTTTTTCCAAGTTTTTCCATTTCCTAACAAATGGGGCAATGTCATTCTTTCTGATGGAGGCATAGAATTCCATTGTGTATATATACCACATTTTCAGGAGGTTGAGATTTGAGGACTGTGTTTCAAAGACAGCCCTGGCAGGAAGTCCATGAGATTATTATGTCCAGTAAACTACTCAGAAAAATCTGGAAGTGGCACTGTGGCTCAAGTGGTAGAGCAGTAGTCTTGAGTTAAAGAAGCTCAAGGACAGTGCCCAGGCCCTGAGTTCAGGCCCCAGGAACAGAGCGTGTGTGTGTGTGTGTGCGTGCGCGCGCACACACACACACACACACACACACACACACACAACTACCTTGTTTGTATTTTATTATCTGGGGGGGATTAATATTGCTTCCATTGTTTTTTAAAAATTTCCTTCAATGGAGTTTGAAGTAGCAATCAAGAAATTAAATGGTGTACTTGGGAAATTAGGACTTGAGTTTGAGTGGGGATGATGAGAGCCATGAAAACAGGTTGAGTATTTATCAGAAATGTTTGGGCCTACTCAAGTTGGTTCACTACTGTAATCCCAGCACTCAGCAGGCTGAAGTAGAATTGTGAGTTTGAGACCAACGTGGGCTATACTCTGCCTCAAAAAATGCCAGGTATTGTTGTCACTGTATTTGATTTTGGTACTCTCGGTATTGTATATACATTTATCTGAACTAGGGAAGGGAAGGGGAACAACAATATGGTGAGACAGAGGACAAAGGGGGAACCAATTCAACAATGATACTCATAAGACAATATGTTGGAAATGATCTGTACAACTTGGTGGAGGGGATTGAGGGGAGGGAAAGGGAGGAGGGAGGAGGTAACATGTTAGACAAGAAATGTATTCACTACCTTACTTATGAAACTGTGACCTCTCTGTACATCACCATGACAATAAAATTAAAATTAAAAAAATGCCAGGCTTGATGGTTCAAGCCTAAAAGCCCAGATACTTGAGAAGCAGAAATTGGGAGAACTTTGGTTAGAGGCCAGCCCAGGGAGGAAGTTGGCAAGATTCCACCTCAACAGAACAAGCTAGGTGTGGTGTTATACATCTGTAATACCACTAGGCAGAAGGCATAGGTTGGAGGATTACAGTTTGATGCTGGCTTAAGTCAAAACATAAGTCCCCATTTAAAAAATAGCTAAAGCAAAAAAGAGCTGGGGTGTGATTGAAATAGTAGAGTACCTGGCTAGTAAGCTCAAAGCATTGAGTTCAAACCCTAGTACTGCCAATTTTTTTTAATTTAATTTTATTTTATTTGTGAACATACTGTACAGAGGGGTTACAATTGCATGGGCAGGATAATGCGTACATTTCTTACCAAGCATTGCAGCCTCCTCCTTTGTTTACCCTTCCCATCCCTTCCCAGCCTCCCCCCTCCCCCCCATCCCAATCCTTCTCCTTCCCCCCTCCCCTCCTACCCCCTTCCCCCCCCCCCCCCCGCACCGACGTTGTAAAGCTCGTTTTGGACATGACAACTTGTACTTCTCATTGTTGCATCAAATCCACCTGTATCCTTAAACAACTGGTCTTTCCCCATCTCCTCCACAAGTTATACTGACATCAAATATAATGAAAGCAGGGGGTAATACTGTTGGGGGAAGGAACATACAAAGCAACAAAGAAAATAATCTTATAAAATGCGTTAAAAAACACATGCCTGAAAAAAAAAAAACATTAAAATACATATCTAAGGGTTCATTTTCCTGACATCACATTATGTGACCTTTTCCGCTTGACTCGTACATATACTAGATATTGCAAATAAGGGAAACCATGGGACCTATGTTTCTTTGGGCCTGGTTTACTTCACTTAATATAATTTTTTCCAAGTTTTTTCATTTCCTAACAAATGGGGCAATGTCATTCTTTCTGATGGACTGCCAATTTTTTTTTTTTTAAGATCAACTGGAAACTGGTGGCACATGCCTGTAACTCTAGCTACTCAGGAGGCTGAGATCTGAGGATCACAGTTTGAAACCAGCCCAGGCAGTCCATGAGACTTATCTCTAGTAAACTTCTCAGAAAATAAATGCTGGAAGTAGTACAGTGATATTGTGTCTCAAGTGGTAGAGCGCTAACCTTGAGCAAAAGAAGATTAGGTACAGCATCCAGACCCAGAGTTCAAGCTCCAGGACCAGCAAAAAAAAATCATATTACAAGAATGATTATTTTGTTGAAAAAGAAAAGAAAAAAAACAGACTAGGGATTTGGCTCACTGGCAGAAGGTATGCCTAACATGCACAAAGACCCTGGGTTTGATTTCTAGCACCATAAAATGTAAATTAATAAAAAAATAAAAAAGAAGGAAGCATAATCCATGAAAGGACTTGGGATATGGTTCATGTGACTCTAGGTACCCTCCTGTAGCTTTTATTCCCAAGGCAGGAACTCTACCATTTGAGCCACAATTCCACTTGGAGATTAATTAGAGATTGATTGGAGCCACAGCTCCACTTCCAATGTGGATTTTTTTATTTGCAGCATTTTTTTTGATGTTCAAAATGTTTCAGCCATGCTGGATCCTGGTGGCTCATGCTTGTAATGCTAGCTACGCAGGAGGCTGATATCTGAGGATCTTGGTTGAAAGCCAGGCTAGGGCAGTAAAATCCTTGAGACTTTTTTTGGGGGGGGGAGGGGCTGGGGCTTGAGCTTAGAGCCTGAGTGCTGTCCCTGAGCTTTTTGTGCTTGAGGCTAGCTAGCACTCTACCACTTGATCTATAGCACCACTTCTGGCTTTTTCTGAGGAGTTTATTGGAGATAAGAGTCTCATGGCCTTTTCTGCCTGGGCTGGCTTCAAACCACGATCCTTTTGAGTAGTTAAGATTACAGGCAGAAGGGCTGGGAAGGTGGCTCAGTGGTAGAGTGCTTGCCTTGCATACATGAGGCCCTGCGTTTGATTCCTCAGTACCACATAAGCATAAAAAGCCAGAAGTAGTGCTGTGGCTCAAGTGGTAGAGCACTATCCTTGAACTGAAGAGCTGAGGGACAGCACCCAGGCCCAGAGTTCAGGACCCACGACCAACCAAAAAATTGATTTAAGCTATAGGGCTGACATGTGTAGCTACTCAGGAGGCTGAGATCTAAGTATCACAGCTCAAAGCCAGACAGGATGCCAGTGGCTCATGCCTATAATCTTAGCCACTCAAGAGGCTGATATCTGAACATTGAGGTTTGAAGCTAGCCTAGGCAGGAAAGTCTGTGAGACTTTTATGTCCAATTAACCACTGAAAATCCAGAAATGGAAATGTGGCTCAAGTGGTAGAGTGCCAGCCATGAGTGAAACAAAAAAAACAAGACTAAGAGTTCAAGCCCTAGTTCCAGAACACACACAAAAAGTTGTGACATCCAGACTCATTAAATCCATTGAGACACAAATTACAATAGAGGTTACCAGGAGATTGGGGACAGGAAATTCTTATTTCTTGGACACAAAGTTGATGAAAATGTTCTCGAAATGGATAGTGGTGATGGTTGGGCAGCCTTACAAGTATATTGGAGGCTATTGGGACCACACACTTCAAAATTATTCCAATGGAAAACATTATTGTGTGCACTTATCAAAATAAAACAGGAAAGCTGGGAAGGCATTTAGGACATTGAGGTAAGCCTACTATTTTTTTTCTTTCTGCCCAGGAGCCATGGATAACAGAGGCTTTCAGCAAGGGAGTTTTAGTAGCTTCCAGAGCAGCTCCAGTGATGAAGATTTGATGGATATACCGGGGACAGCAATGGATTTCTCCATGAGAGATGATGTTCCTCCCTTGGATCGAGAAATAGAAGGTATTTGAAAGGAATCCTTCACATCCATCCCAGGGGACCATGCAGAGGCAAGCAGGTACAGGAGTAAGATTATTATAAGGTTTATTAGTGGAGCCATATTTCCCAGGAGAGGGAGCACATGGCATCTGCTCCTATCCAGGTAGCAGGAGGGTCTGGGGACAGGAAGTGAGGTAGAATTGTGCTCACATGGGTTTGGGTGGACAGAGGGAAGTGGCCAGCTGATTGGTGGGAACTCTAGGGCTGAGAAGATCTCAGGTCTGGGTGGAGCTGAGGACCAGAGGTGGGCATAATACTAACATTCCCTGCTTTGTTGTTTAATAAACATAAGGGTACCAGGTGGGGTGGGGGAGGGGGTAATAGGTGGAGGCCGTTTCTTCCAAAGCTACTTCAGAAGTATTCAGGGGTCCCTGATTTGTTGCTTGGCTGGGTACCATCCAAGAAGCATCTGCTTGACAGTTAGGTTGGTAAAGGTCCTCATCTTTTCCATTACAATAGTTATCTAAAATGCAAGACACAATTAATAAAAGGCAAAAAGTTGCTGTTAGCAACTTAAGAGAGGAATATGCTAGGGAGGGATTGATTCCCAGAAGGGGCTATCAAAGACCTGAAATTGCCTTTTCTGTCTTGGATTGGAGACATAGCATGGTACCTGATTCCTGACATCCTGTAGGGAGGAGTAAGACTGTTCCCACTTTAGGATCACAGTGTTCTGAGGAGGAGGTAGCAAAGATATTTAAAGGTACCAGAGCCAATAGATGTCTTCGGCTCTTTTGTCTACGTCCTGCTAGCCTGGGACATTGAGAAGTCCCTGGAGCTGGTATCTTTAGGGTCCAGGTCTGCACTGGGCAAGGCAGGGCAGTGTAAGTGAAGTCTCTGGTTGCCTATAGTAACAGAATAGCCTTGACTTGTTCCCAGGTGGTGTCCTGGGTGTGGGGGGGCATTATTCTGTTAAATGAAACTTTTGATACAATGGAACTCTATGTCTCCATCAGAAAGAATGACATCACCCCATTTGTTAGGAAATAGAAAGACTTGGAAAAAATTATATTAAGGGAAGTAAGCCAGATCCAAAGAAACATAGGTCCCATGGTTTCCCTCATTTGCAATAACTAGTATATGTCTAGGACAAGCAGAAAAGGTCAAAAGCTATGTACATGTGACCATATAAGTTGATGTTAAGTGAAATGAATCACAAGATAGGGACACAAGTGGTTTTTCTTTCTTGCTATTGTTTTTAACATATTTATAATGTACTATGTGATTTTTTGTTTCTTTGGTATCTTCTTCCCTCATGGTATAACCCTTGTTTTCACTGTATTTGATTTTGGTGCCCTACATCTTGTATATACATTTTTCTAATTTGGGGAGGAGAAGGGAAATGACAAAATGCTTAAATAAGGATACAGGTTGACCCATTGTAACAATGAGATGTACAAGATACTATGGTGAAAACAAACTTTACAACTTAGGGGGATGGGTGGGAGGAGTTGAGGAGGTGGGGAGGGAAGGGATTGTAGGGAAAAAATAAAGGAGGAGGAGGTAACAAGGCTCAATAGGAAATGTACTCATTACATTACTCATGTCACTGTAACCCCTATGTACAGTATTTTTACAATAAAACACACACACCCACACACACACACACACACACACACATATAAAGAAACTTTTGGAAAGGTCAGGCAAAAAAGCTGACAAGGTGACAAGGTCAGTTAACAAATGACACCAAAGGTGGGCATAACACTAACAATTATTACTAATGGCCATTTCTTTAAAAAAATAATTTATGTAAAGTAAAAATTTATTTTCTCCACACAGTCCTTTGAGGGTTTTTTTTGGGGGGGAGGGGGTTGCTGGTCCTGGAGTGTTGGGTCTTTGTCCGTCTCAGGAAAGATGGACGGGTCTGAGGAAAGGTAAGTGTGGGGCGTTCCCCAGCCTCCCTTAGCCCGGGAGACAATCAGACACATTGGGGAGCCAAATCAAGCAGGAAGAAAACTTGTTTATTAACAGAGAGCAGCCCTTTTTAAAGCCAAAAAGGGCAGGGGGGGGGAAGAGGAACCAATCACTGTCAAGGTCACACCCTATCATGCACCTAAGCTTCCACGGGCTGGTTCTCTCTCAGCGCCATCTTTGCTGCCTGTGTTCCCCACACTGGAGCTTAAACTCAGGACCTAGGTACTGTCCCTGAGCTATTTTTCTCAATTCTAGCTTTCTACCATTTGAGTCACAGCTCTACTTCCAGCTTTTTGGTGCTTAATTCAAGATAAGAATTCATGGACTTTCCTGCCTCAGTTGGCTTCAAACCATGATCATCAGATCTTAATTTCCCAAGCAGCTAGAATTGTAGGTGTGAGCCATCAGTGTCTGGCTCCTTTGAGTTTTAACACATTGCTCAATTCTTGTAATCATTGCCACAGACAGGTCACAGAACAGTCCAACTACATAAAGAATTCCCTCTGGTTATTTTTCCATGATCAGCCTTCCCTCCTTCCTCATCCCTGGTATCACTGACCTGTCCTCTGTCCTTGTAGTTTTATGCTTCATGAGGATGATGTCATATTCATGGAATCATGTCAGGTTTTGAGGCTGACTTCTTTTATTCTTGGAGATTTATCATTTTCTTGCTGAGTAGCATACCCAGGAGTAGAATCCCTGGGCCAGTTGATAAATGTATATTTACTTTTTTTTTTTTTTTGGTCCATTGTGGGGCCTGAACTCTGGGCCTGGGTGCTGTCCCTCAGCTCTTCAGCTCAAGGCTAGCACTCTACTGTTTGAGCCACAGCGCCACTTCTGGCTTTTTCTTCTTATGTGGTGCTGAGGAATCAAATCCAGGGCCTCATGCATGCAAGGCAAGCATTCTACCACTGAGCCTCTTTTGCAGCCCCTATATTTACTTTTTGTTAAGAAGTTACTGGTTTAGCTCGGTGGTTGGATACTAGCTTAGTATGTGCTTTGGTGAAATATATGTTCAAATCCTGTTCACCCACCTTTTTGTGCTGGTCCTTTGGACTTGAACTCAGTGCATGAGTGCTGCCCGTGAGCTTTTGTGCTCAAGGCTAGCATGTTGCCACTTGAGCCACAGACCCACTTCTGGTTTTTCCGTGGTTAATTGGATATAAAATGGACTGGCTTTGAATTGTCATCCTCAGATCTTAGCCTCTTAAGTAGCTAGGATTATAGACAAGAGCTACCAGTGCCCAACTATATCCCCTTTTTGTAATTAGTATTTTATTGGCAAGAATATATGTATAAGGTGAAAATTTGCCTCTTTGTTTGGTTATCCACTTATGTTCCAACTCTAGCACTGCAAGACCAAAAATTTAAACTGCCAAACCACTTGCCAGAGCATATGAGCAATTTTAGTGTGCATGAGAGTTCTATTTATTCCACACCCTCAAAGAGCTCTTGACATTTTCAGTAATTTGTGTGTGTGTGTGCGCTAACCTTGGGGTTTGAACTTGGGGCCTGGACACTGTCACTGAGCTTCTTTTGCTCAAAGCTATCACTTGAGTCACAGCTCCACTTCTGGCTTTTATTGGTTAATTGGAGATAAGAGTCTCATAGCCTTTCTTTCCTGGGCCGGCTTTGAGCCATAACCCTCAGATCTTAGCCTCCTGAGTAGCTAGGATAATATGAATGAGTCACCTGACCCCTGAAGTAATGTTTATTTTAGCTATCTTAACAAGTATATAGTATTATATTATCATGATTTCAGTTTAATTTCCTTAATGTCTAGTGATATTGACCATCACATTGTGCTGATTTGCCAGTCTTATAACTTCTTTTGATGAAATATCTGTTCAAATCCTATTCCCTTTTTATAATTGAAATTTTATTGACAAGAGTACGTGTGTGTGTGTGTGTGTGTGTGTGTGTGTGTGTGTGTATGGTGGAAAACCTCATTGGTTGTTTGATTACCCACTTATATCATTTTTTTTCACTGACTACAATGTCATGTTATGATTGTACCACAGTTCACTTAACCAAGTTTTATTGATACATATTTGAGTTGCTTCACATTATTTGCTATTACAAACCATAGTGCAATAAGCAACCTTGTATATAAATATATGTATATAGGTATACACAAACACACATGTACAACATATATGTTCACTCATGCACATACATGTGTATGTATATATACACCTATATGCATGTAACACATATATGTATAAAATATATCTACTTTTTAGGCACATGAAGTTTAACATAGTTTCAAGCCCTGTATTGGCACACACAAACTTCAGTCTACTAAATTGTTCAAGTTTAGCAAGGGTATCATGCTTTTCTGGTGTTTTTAATGACTTGTTACACTTAGAATGGACTGTGTTATTTTAATATTAAATTTGTATAATTACTATAAGATTAGAGCTGGAAGGCTGGGAAGGTGGCTCTGTGGTAGAGTACTTGCCTCACATGAATGAGGCCCTGGGTTTGATTCCTCAGCACCACATAAACAGAAAAAGCTGGAATTGGCACTGTGGCTAGCCTTGAGCTGAAGAACTGAGGGACAGCACTCAGGCCCAGAGTTCAAGCCCCAGGAGCAGCAAAAAAAAGATTAGAGCTGGAGGTATGACTCAAGTGGTAGAACTCAGCTGAGTAAGCAAACCTGAGCAAGTATAAAACCCTGAGTTAAACTTCAGCACTGGCAAAAGAAAATAAAAGTGGGGAAACAGTGACTGTACTCCTAGGTACTGTGGAGGCTGATACCTGGAGGAACATGATTTGAAACCAAGCTGGGTAGAAAGGTGCATGAGATTCTATCTCCAATTAACCAGAAAATATGCCAGTCTGGAGATGTGGCTTAAGTAGTAGAGCTTTGTGGAAAAATAACTATGCAAGTGTGTGGGACCTTGAGATCAAGCTCCAGTACCAGCACTCACAAAAAGCATAGTATTTATATAGAACCTACATAGGACTTCCTACATATTTTAAATAATCTCTGAATTACTTGTAATATCCAATACAAAGTAAATGTCATGTAACTAGTTGTTACT